AGTAATTACATTAAGCACGTCCTTGGTTAAAGGTTTCATCTGATCCAATTTTTGTAAGATGATTCCAAATATTATTAATACTACGCATGTAATTTATTTTTAAAAGAGCGACTTAATCATAAAGAACATTTTTGTAATGTAAGCGAAAGATACCAACGGCAAAGAAGGTAAATTCTTATCGTATATATAAATAAATAAACATATGTGTGAAATGGCATGCAAATAAATAAATAAATTTTAATTAGAAATAGCTAAATATGTTAATCAGGTCAGATATTATATTAATGCTAGCCAGGTATTATGGTAATGCCGGCCGAATAATCTTATTTCGGGATCATATTAAAAATCCCGCACGTGCCCATCCCTATATTTTACCAATCTTTTTTCCTAACAGACATAATGTCATCCAATTCACTGAGAAGTTTATATCACCGACAATTATTTCACCAACAAACTCATTTTACTGGCAAGTTATTTTAAAAATTGAATTCCAATTCTATACCTGACTTTAACAATATAACCAGATAAACTATCAGTGAATTAGTTGTTGGAAATGAGGTTATCAGAAAAAAAAACATTTTGGGGTGTGGGAAATTAATGTTTTTAACAATGGGTAGTGATTTTAATATATATAATTTGCTGATATTTTTAATAATGTTTGTTTATCTATTTTGTTACATTTAAAAACTGACTTGACAAGCTTTTTAACAATTCTAACTTTTACAGACTGGCTTTACATTAGTTTTTAAGACCATTAAAATCCTAAGATATTCTTGAACCAGAATTGGATCGAAATAGATAGACTGTATCAGACCAGATTGTTAATATCCCTACTGGAAAAGCATTAACAGATACACTTTGCAAAAACATCACGATAAAAACTTTAGATGTTATTTAACAGTGTAAATTTTAAAAATTGAAGCAAATATTTTTATACGTTTAGTTAATTTACTCTCATATAATTCATAAATTGTAATAAGTGAGAGTGAGGGAGGGTGCATGAGAGTTGTAAAGATGAAAAAGTAAGGTTGTTTAAATTATGCTAGAATAAATCAAAACACGAATAATATAAATTATGGATATGTAAAAAACTTTTGAACATAAAAAATAAACAAATGTTATTTTTTTTATATGTTAAACATGTTTATACGAAACATATTATTTTTTGATAAGTTAATAAAATCTATATACATGTAATATAATTAGTATTTTTTAACTTAAGAAAAACTGTTAGTTGATTAAGAGTTTTACTTCTCTAAGATTTTTACTTGAAATTTTTATTTTTAATTTTTTTTTTTGTTTTTTTGAAAATTAATTGGTAACTGTTAATCTTGTTAAATTACGGTTATATCTTTTTTTAATCCTGATTAACCAAATATTATTTTTTAAAAAGTTTATTAATTTAGTTAAATAGCTAACGAAAAATCTTTGATAAAAATTTATTAAAATCGAAATAGTTAAATTTTTAAATCAAATTTGATAAAAATTTTTAAAGTAAATTTTTAATTGAATTAATTGCAATGCTGAAAGTGATTCATACAACATTATAGTCAGGGTTAAGGTAAGAAAAAATAGATATATGCCACAAATTTGCAAGAAAATTTTTTATTATATGGAAAAAATTAAATTTTCAGGAGTTAAATGAAAACGGAATACAATTATACTGGAGATATGCGTCTTAAACGGTGTACAAAACGCATAAATTTATTATTTCATTCAATTCGTGCCATACATTCCTTTTTTAACAAAAAAAAGAGTAATTTTGAAACACTCCTCTAGGTTGTAAAAGAAAAAGAAATGATTTTATCGTACAAGAGATTATACTTCCTAAGTTATTACAGTTATATGTAGGTGGATAAGAAATCTGTCTAGATATTATTAATATTTATGTATATGTCGGATTAAATATTTTGAAACCGTCAAAAAATTAGTGTAATTTTAAAAAAGGTGATTTCTTGAAAGGTAATAAAAAATTTTTTGGAGAATGATTTCAACATAATATTACATTATGATATGAACTTCCAGCTACATAGTTTGCGTCCTACTGCAAGAGCAAGGAGTCTACCAAACGCACTAGGACTTAAATCAACATCTTGGGGACCACATCCTGCACATCGATCCACAGCCGTAACTACGACAGACTTAGAACCGCAAGTCACTTGAAGTTGCCTACCGCAGTTTGGATTCTTGTTTGGATTGTTGCCAGGTGAAGTACCGAATACTTGAGGCGAGAGTGCACAAATCAAATCACTATTCGAATTTACTTTACCGCATGCACCAAGGCCTACATCATAGAATGTGATATCCCCTTTATTGACTTGACCGACTGGATTGTCTCGTTTTTCAAGTGTTGTAAAGTTTAAGTCTCTAGGTTCCAGTTCACCAAATAGACTATCCATTTCATAAGAAGTACTAAGGTCAGAAAAGAGTGCAATAATGCACAAAGAAATCGTTATAAGAAATAAAAACCGAGTGTATAATGAATTTGAAGCCATTTTTTTATTCTTTTTGAGGGTTGTGAATAATAATAATAAGTAATTAATAGTACTTAGTAATAACGGTTTTTTTGTCTGTAAAAGTAGAGAAAAACTTGGCCTTTATATGCGTATGAATGATATAACAAATTTCAATAAGGGGATCATTGTAATACGTGCTTTATTATCGTTTTAGGCAAAAAGTATTAGGGAGAAGAAATATGTATACTATGCATCAATATACTGTAACAGCTTTATGGGTTTAATTTACGGCATTTGTTTGGTCTTTCGCCAGATCATATATTAAAACAAAAGTAATTATCTATATTATGAAGAATAGTATTTCTTGAATAAAATATACCACGATTAGAAATGACATATTTGCAGTACACACATTAACTAGCTTCGTTTTTCGAACGATTCAGTACGGATTATAAACAATATAAAAATTCTATTGTGCGCACCAGATTAATATCATAAGCAAATCTTTGTTATAATCGATCTTTAGCCAGTACAACCATTTCAACCATTTCAGGAGGTCGGACAAAACAATATCGTTAATGAACAATGGGGGTATACGTATACATATGTTGATGTGTCAACCAAATACTATATGCACATCGTTTCAAATTGTACTTTGCTCATCACTCAATATTCGCATTTAAAATTTTACTTATAATACGTAAAACTAAGGAAGAATGATTTTTCAAATAGCATTTATCGATGTTAAGTTTACGTCTTGATATAAAAGTTGGAAAAACTTTTCTTTTTTTTTTTTCTTTTGAAAATTTTCATAAAAAAATATATATCCGGATTTTAATATCCTGAATTTGAATTTGTACGTATATCCTTAATTTGAATACCCCCACCTTTGATTGCATCGTCTTCTTTTCCGCATTTTTACTTATTAACCATAGGATCTCGTAATGAAAGAAATTAAACACAACATCATGTAATATAATTTGCATATGCAGATAAATTTTGTTTTTTTTTTCCTGACATATTTAATATAATTTAGCCTGGATAAACTTTAACTACTTTTCATTTTTCGAACGTTCTTATATTTAAAGCAGTTATAAATTCTATAAACTCAGACCTTTAATGAAAACTTGCCTATTCAATTTTTTACTAAGAGACCTAAAAAAAATCAAAAATCAAAAATAAAGACCGATTTTTAAATATCAATATGAAATTCTGCAATCCTATATACGGTACGTATCTGGTAAATCAGTCCTATTTATTTTTTTTAAACGTACGTCCGTCCGTTCGGTAAATTTGATAAGCCCTTATTCTGTACGTACGTACCTACGTACCGTAACGATAGCGTAAAAAGCCATTTAAAAATTGGGCGCACATATGCATATTTATTTATATTATGAGCATGATCTAGTACATACCCTACATATCTGATATTACATGTTATGAATTTGAGGGGATACGTACGTACCTTCGCGCGCTATTTTTTTAAAATAGCATGATCATTCAGTAAACGAAAATATTGTTCTTAACACTAATGGATCAGGAATGATCTAGCAAAAAACTAAACGAAGTTTGATATCGTATGTACGTATATACTTTATTTGGTGGTCGGCTAAAGCGGAACGAGTTTTAGAGTTATCTTTTTGATGCATTTAAGGCTAGTAGATTATATAGAATATCAAGAATGTAATTTATAAAGTATGAAGATCATATATTGAATTAACTCCGCTTTAGCCGACCCCTTTATTTGGTTAAGATCGTAAATTGAGTTGACCGCAGCCGCAGTAATTCTGTCTATCATTGAACCTAGTGTCCACAAAGAATGCAGCCTCCAATTGAATGAAAATTTTCCTAAACTAATTTTTATAAAAATTTGCTTTTTTTGTAAAAAAAAAAAAAAAAATATTCCGGATAAAATTAATTTTGATGATTATCAATGAATAAATTAAAATTCTGCAAATCATCACCAGTAAAAAGAACTACTCCGAAAATTGTCGCTATCACGTCTGAAGATCAAAAATATTAGTTGATACTGTATTTATTCCTGAATTTTAGAATATATCCAACTTTGATCACCACACTTTACTTAAAAGTCAATAGTTTTTTAAAACTTCTAGTTTGATCAAATTTTACTTATAATTTGTAGGAGAATTTCTATTTGTACACGGGGTGTATGTACACGGTAATATAAAAACTAACCAATATCTCAAAATTTTGATTATGAAACCACCTTTTGGTTTTTAACAAAAAAATTTATTGCGCAATTTTGGTATAAACTATATCTTGCCCAATTCCAAGCCCACCCTTACCCTAACCCTAACCATGAGCAAGGATCTAATTTTTCGTTTGTAAAATTGTTTTGATGCTATGTTACACGAAGTTGTAATTCAATAAATTATAGTTGTGTATAAATATTAAGTGTAAACTAAGAAATTTTTTTTGTAGAATAAAAATCAAATGTTTATTAAATTTAGTTAATTAATTATTAAGAAATCATTACTAAAACTTTTTAATAATATTAAAAAACTGTTTTTTTTTTTAAACTTTAAACAAAAATTTTTTAATATTCAACTATCTAAATTTGGCAGTTAATTATTAAAAAAATATATTTATTAAAGTATATAAAGTTTATTTTTATTATTTTTAAAACATTTAAACTTTAAATAAAATTAAAAAAAAAATTCTTTTTAAAACTATAGAATAATTAAAAAAAAGAATAAAAAAATAAATAAAGTAAAATAAATATTATACAAGCAAATTCATAAATATTTTACTTTCTATAACCTTTTAAATTAAAAAATTATAATCTTAAAACTTTAATAATAAATAATATTTAATAAATATTAATTAATTATTTTTTTATATAATTTTTTAATTACTATAATGAAAGTTAAATAAAATCTAAAATTTAATTAATTTTTTGACTAAATTAATTGAATTTAATTAAATATTAATAAAAAATTAAAACTGTAAACACTAAGTATTCAGTATATTATTTTTATAATAATAACAAAAAATTTAAATTAATTAGATAAAATAGTTATTAAAAATTAATTTTTAAAGCTACTTTAAGATGTTGTTAAAGACAAAATTAAATTTTAGAGTTGCTCTAACCTTGTACTTGTTTTAACTTATACCTTTTGCAATAACAATAGCTTTAAAACAAGAAAAATAATTGTGCATTAATAGTATCTTATAAAACTTAAAAACCAAGCTGCTTATTTGAAACAGTATTATACTGATACAAAATTAAAAACAATAGTTATTTGTTATAATAGATCTGCTAAATTAGTTTAGTTATTTATATTTTAAAAGGTTATTATAATTCCAATTGCAACAGCAGATCTGAAACTGTTAAAATTAATAGAAAAATATTTGATTTTGAAATTCTATATTGTCTCTTTTTTTAAAATGTCTCTTTTGATAAAATGTGTATCTTTTTTCTTGTTTTGTAAGAGAAAGTTTTAATAATTCTAATAATAAAATTCTATTAATAAATATAATAATATGCATTCTATTGTCTTTTTTATAAAATCTTGCACTTACATCTTAGCTTTGTCAGATTGTTCTGTTTATAATATAATGTTTTATAATATTTATTTTTAAGTAATTATTTATTATATTTTTTGTGTCTTTATATTCTGTATATTAAATTTTCTCTTTAATACTATATATTTTCTATATATTACTATAGTTATTTTTAATTATGCCTAAAATAACATCTGTAAAAAACTTTTTAAATATCAAATTACTATAAAATATTTGTAAATAAATTTAGAACTATATAATAATATATATTTTATTTTTAATTAATATATAACTTATTGTACAATAGAGTAATAAAAATAAAAAAATTAGTATATTTAATTATTAATTTACAAAATTTATTAATATAATATATATAAAATTTTAAATTGTATTTTGAATGTTTATATAATTTAAAATAATATTAAAATATATGATATCATTAAATATAATACACCAACCTGATATATTTAAATTAAAATATAATTACACAATACTTTATATATTAATTTGCAATTAAATAAATATATTTAATATTTAAAGATTTTAAAAAATATATTTATAAAAAAAAATAAATTATTTTTTAATTATATATTGTTTAAAAAAATCTTAAAATTAATTAATTTTTTTTTAAAAAAATTAAAAAAATAAAAAATTTTATTATATTTATAAATAACTAATTATAATTAAGTATTTTTATATTACTATACAAATATTTTGTTATAATTATATTATATAAACTTGCAAAATTTTAATTATAATTATTATATAATAAAAAAAATATAATAAAAAAAAAATTACTAAAAAAAAAATTCTCATCTATAGATCACTCACCAAAATTTCTAGGAAGTAAAACTTAGAAAAATTTAATAATAAGACTAGAAAACAAGACTTAAGATACTAACAAAAAAGACAGAATAGAAAAGTTGCACATAATTTAATAGCAAATATACAGAAGAGGAACTATAAAGATAGCAAAAAATAGCACATAAAGAATTTTTAATGAAAAGTAAAAAATTTTTTAAAAAAATTAAAGAATTACTATAATTCTGTCTTATAGATTCTTCAAGTTATACAAAAAGTCATAGTAGAATAGGCAAAGTAAACAAACAAACATATATATCAAACTAATTTAATCTAGATACAATACATGACATAAAAACATATAGAAAACAATTATGCAATATAAACAAAAGTCTGTCAGAAAAATATAAAGAAAGTTTCAATACAATTTTCATAAAAAGGACATATAAGGTAATGAATAGTGTGCATAATAAAATCTTTTTTAATAAAGCAAACAAGACATATGCAGTATCTTGTAGAGAAGATAATATCATTGTAGCACTTACAAAACAAGACCCAAATGAAGTAGTGTTTCTGTAAATAACAAAAAAAATATTAGAAAAAGCAGAAAGAAAGCAAACTAAAAAAAAACTTGATTTTGTAAAATAGTATTAAAATAAAATAAGTATAGAAAAGAAAGAAGAACAACAACAGACAAATAAAATAAAAAAAAG